CCCAGTGTCTCACCACTCACCACTCACCCAGTGTCTCACTACACACCCAGTGGCTCACTACACACCCAGTGGCTCACTCCTCACCACTCACCCAGTGTCTCACTCCTCACCCCGTGTCTCACTTCTCACAGCTCTCACTACACACCCAGTGTCTCACCACTCACCACTCACCCAGTGTCTTACTACACACTCAGTGTCTCACCACTCACCACTCACCCAGTGTCTCACTACACAGCCAGTGTCTCACCACTCACCACTCACCCAGTGGCTCACTCCTCACCCAGTGGCTCACTCCTCACCACTCACTACACACCCAGTGGCTCCACTCCTCACCCCTCACCCAGTGTCTCACTCCTCACCACTCACCCAGTGTTTCACTCCTCACCACTCACCCAGTGTCTCCACTCCTCACCCAGTGTCTCACTACACACCCAGTGTCTCACCCAGTGTCTCACTACACACCCAGTGTCTCACTACACACCCAGTGTCTCACCCAGTGTCTCACTACACACCCAGTGTCTCACTACACACCCAGTGTCTCACCCAGTGTCTCACTACACACCCAGTGTCTCACTACACACCCAGTGGCTCACTACACACCCAGTGTCTCACTCCTCACCACTCACTACACACCCAGTGTCTCACTACACACCCAGTGTCTCACTACACGCCCAGTGGCTCACTCCTCACCACTCACTACACACCCAGTGTCTCACTACACACCCAGTGGCTCACTACACACCCAGTGGCTCACTACACACCCAGTGGCTCACTACACACCCAGTGGCTCACTACACACCCAGTGTCTCACTCCTCACACCCAGTGTCTCACCAATCACCCAGTGTCTCACTCCTCACACCCAGTGTCTCACTCCTCACACCCAGTGTCTCACTCCTCACACCCAGTGTCTCACTCCTCACAGCTCTCACTACACACCCAGTGTCTCACTCCTCACACCCAGTGTCTCACTCCTCACACCCAGTGTCTCACTCCTCACACCCAGTGTCTCACTCCTCACAGCTCTCACTACACACCCAGTGTCTCACTCCTCACACCCAGTGTCTCACTCCTCACACCCAGTGTCTCACTCCTCACAGCTCTCACTACACACCCAGTGTCTCACTCCTCACACCCAGTGTCTCACTCCTCACACCCAGTGTCTCACTCCTCACAGCTCTCACTACACACCCAGTGTCTCACTCCTCACCCCGTGTCGCACTCCTCACCACTCACCCAGTATCTCACTCCTCACCACTCACCCAGTGTCTCACTCCTCACCACTCACCCAGTGTCTCACCACTCACCACTCACCCAGTGTCTCACTCCTCACACCCAGTGTCTCACCACTCACACCCAGTGTCTCACTCCTCACTCCCCGTGTCTCACTCCTCACAGCCCTCACTACACACTACATACACACTTAACGCCACACCTAATGCCACACACACACGACTAAATACACCACACGTTCACGCACACAACACCACACACGACACAAACACACAGCTGGTCACGCCACCGCCACACGAACTATTTTATGTCTGTTGGGCTTGGTCACTTACACTGAAGGTATTTTTTTCTAAATTCTCAATCCAGTGTCGGTCGGCTGAGTGTTGTTGTATCACAAAGCCAAAGACTAACCGCGCGGGAATGGAACGCACCCCGACATTTTCTGCGCAAATAAAAAAAAACACCCACACCTGGATTCACTCACCTGCCCCAACGGGCAAGAATCCGTTTTCAGAGACTCGGCGTCAGCTCCTATTGACGAGGGAGTTAGTCGAACGTACAACTGCGCGTGCACTCACGATTCTTTTTTAGTATAAATCCACAGCTGGATGAGGACCTCTCAGCACCTGCGCCTGTCCACGGCGCGTTATTGGCACCACACTTAACCGCTCCGCTCGGTGCGCGTCAGTAAAATGCTGGCTAGCACACACGTGGAAGCATAGAGGTGCAGTACAACAATGTTTTTTTTTGCTGTACAACACTGTTACTGCCCACGACGCAGCGACGACGTCTATGACAGCCGGTTTGTGCACGGGGCGGTCGCCCATCCAAACACTATCCAGGCTTTACACCTGCTGAGCTTTCGCGATGTGATGAGTGCGGTGTGAAATGGGGCCGGGTTACGTGGAGGCAGCGCGTCAACGCAGCAAATCACTCGGAGGTCGCGGCCGGACCAGGAGACCCCAGGAACGGAGAGGTCGGGACGCAGGACGAGGGGCAGAGCAGTGGGAATTTAAAGGCTCAGAACAACAACAAGCGCCATTCGCCACTAAGTGGTGGTGACGTAGCCACGGCGCTTGTGCCAGGCTATGTGCACGTTAATGCCACGTGAAGTGTCGAACGCCCGCTGGCAGGAGGTCACGGGACTGACCCAACATGTGCCACGGGTCGACTGACCGAGACGAGTGGCCGATGGCACCACCTGTGGCCCATACCGTGCCAACTCGCTGTGCTTTAGTCAGAACAAAGATGCCAGAACAACACACACGCACACGGCAACACACACTACACAGCACTGACTTTAAAAGTGGGGGAGGGGAGGGATTTCTTCAGCCAATGCTATGATCCACATTGCTTGTGTTAAGTTGGTTGTCCTTCGCCCGCACCTTGGCTACGTGCGGTGCGAAAGAGCGTTAAATATACGGTGCATATACACACGCTGTTCTTTTTGGGTTATGCCGCGCTGGTCGCCTTTATGGCAAAATGTCTCGTCATCGATCCTCCGTCACTTTATCTGCTAAAATAAAAAAAGTTTTTTAGTTTTTTGTGTGATTTGATAACATTTTCTATGCCTTGCTCTTTCTGACCCACCCCTCCTGGTCGTCAGTGAAAACGAGCTTTATGGCTCATCGGATTTTATTTGCATTGTTTGTTGTTTCAACTTTCTGACCAACCCCTCCTGGACATCGGTGAAAAGAGCTTCATAGCTCATCGGATTCCCCCCCCCCCCCCAGTGTAAATAAAGATTCCGATTTTATGGACGGCCCTAGCTACGTGCAGTGGTAGTGCCTTCAACCCCTACGCGTGTTCAGGTTGCAGCCACCACCACCACGTCCCAGATGAGAGATTCTGCTCCTACAGCTCTAGTCGTGGCTTCTTCCACTCATTTCTAGATTTGAAGCTTTCGTGACTGCAAGGATACATATTCTTAGGTTTTTTTCGGTAAAGTCACGTAGGTAAAAAAATTAAAATTAATAAAAGTAAAATAAAAAATAAAATAAAAATCACGACGTTTCGGAGGCAACACAAGCTTCCGTCTTCAGGTGGAACCGTCACAGCACGACAGCTGTATCAAGCGAGAGGAATATTCTTCCACTCATCCCTCGCAGCCCTGGCAGGTGCTCTCCCCAGCAAGGCCTTGCACAAATGGCTCTCCACTTTCTGTGCCACCTCGAGCTACGGGGTCGCCATGTCCGCGAGGCGCAGATATAACCAGGACGTGTCACGTGGGACGACGACGATCGTCACGATGCGTTCAGGAGGAGGAGGAGGGGGGTAGAGTCAAGTCAAGTTGACTTTTGTTTACATTCGTGGTGGTAGTGGTGGTGGCTTTCTGGCACAAATCTGCCACTCAAAGCGCCTGAATCACCTGAATACTCAACATACAATAAATACATGAACATTCTAAAGAATGTTTTAAAGCAAGTTTGAAAAGCAAGTTGTGGCTGTATGATCGATCACACAACTGATCAAAAACAGGAACTTGCACGGGAACAAAGACACAGATCCCCCATATAACCTTAACAGACTGTTGGGGCAAGTGCTGTTAGCGAGCAGCACCTATGAGGGCCAGCACGGCACACGAGGGGGTGGGTGGCCAGCACCTTCGCCCGACCGCCTTTGTCTCCCCAGCGTTGATGCTTTACACAAACACCACCAGATACTAATTTAAGGCTGAGTCCACCTAAGCGATACCCAGGACCGGTCACTAGTTTAGGCCGTGAAAGGGAATCGAACTCGTAGCGCTCCGTGCTAACCACTGCGCCCACACAAACACGTGCAAATGCATAACATTAAGGTGGAAACTCGCATGCACATCCACGCATGCGTATAGCGTGTATGTCTAACTGCTTTCGCGTCGTACGTAGCCAACCTTGATAATCATCGGAGGTGAGGGGGGAAGGGAAACAAACTAAACACAGAACTCAGTTCTAAAGAATTTAGTTTTTTAAATCTGAAAGATTGAAAAGTGTGCGTAGCTCCAGTGGCTTCCGAATATCGCAAGGAGAAACATTCCAGACGGCCGCAGATGCGCATCTGAAAGCGCGCGATGCGGTGACCGCCGCCTTGCTGTGACCGTCATGCAGACACACACACGTACACACACGCGTACACACACACACATGCGTGCACACACACACGCACGCGTACACACACACACGCACGCGTACACACACACGCGTACACACACACACACGCATACACACACACACGTACACACACGCACACACGCGTGCACACACACACGCGTACACACGCACGCACGTACACACACGCACACACGCGTACACACGCACGTGTGCACACACACACGCACACACGCACGTACACACACACACAGCAATTCACGCGCATAACTCCACTAGCAATGTGTGTGTATACTGCATAGACTGTCACAAAAACAAAGGTCCCCCCCCCATCGACCCTCTAGCACTCTGTTGGGGCAAGCGAGTAGCAGCACCTATGAAGGCCGGAACGGCGCACTTAGGGCGTGGGTGGCCAGCACCACGCCCGGCCGCCTTTGTCTCCCCAGTGACGATGTTTTTACGCACCGCACCGGGTACTCATTTGAGGCTGAGTCGACCTAAGGGAGGCCTAGGACCGATTCAGATACTCGTCACCGGTGTTGGCCGTGAGCGCGAATCGAACTCGGGTGGCCGGGTTCGTAGCGCAGCGCAGCGCTAACCGCTACACCACCGCTCGTCACACGCACACACACAGACACACACACAGCCGTAATCACAACTCACACACACACACTTCGCCTTACCTGTTGCGGGCCTCGAGCGAACGTCGTCGGCTCAAAGTTCCACTCCGCCTCTCGTCCCCCCGTGGTTTCCTCCCCCCACCTCAGGCGAGACGGACAGGGAACGGAACGTCTCGATGGCCCCCGTGCCCAGCAGACGTGAGCGGCGCGAGTGGTAATCCCTCTCGCGCTGCCAGCGGAGGATGGAGGAGAGTGCTGGCGAGTGTCGAGAGGCAGACAGAGAACGAGAACGTGGGGACACTCCTCAAGAGGTGACTGGGGGGGGAGGAAGTCTCAACACGCTACTCGGGGCGAGGCGTTGACCAGCCCTGCGTGAGAATCACGGAGACTCGGCCGTGCGCCCTCGATGGACACGTGCAGACACCGTCTCTCGGACGCGGTCACGGGAAGCCTCCGGGCGCGATGGCACCACGAGCGCGCCGCGAGATGGAGACGCTTCGGGAGCTGCGTGGAGGCTCCGACGGGATGTTGGCGATGTTTGTCGGCAAGGCAAGCGTGGAGGCGGCTGGAGATGGAGGCTTTGGGAGTGGTGCGGTGCGCGCGTGTGTGTGAGCGTTACCTCTGTCACTTCGCTCCCCGCATGGCTCCTCCCCTCCCCCCACTCTTCCTCCGTTCCCCTGACTCAGGTTGGGGTCGCCGCATCCCCTCCACCCCCCGGCTGCGCCTGGGGGGTGCTCGCTCACCCCTCGCCGGATACATCCACCGGGTTCAACCGCAGGTGTAGGGGATGACTCAGGTTCAGGCGGGAACTTTGGCGCACGCCGAGTACCACTGCTACTGCTGCTGTATGCATGTTTTCAAGTTTTATTTATTAGGTATAGCCCTGTGAGCCATTCGGCTCTTGAATCGGGTGTAACCGCAACAAACAAAAAAAAACTTAAACATGAACAAAAAACATCTTAAAGTGAATATGTGACTGGGTGCAAACAGAAAATCCCGAGCTCTCATACTCTGATTGTGCATTGTCCTTGAGTTGTGCGCCTTTTGGCGTCATCTGGTCCAACACCATGTGAGACTAGGCTCTAAAGAAAGCTGTCTCGGGTGTGGACCAATCAATTTCAAGGACAGTGCATACATTATCAGAGTTGTGTTTTTTGTTTGCATTCTGACTGCAGGTATTGTGGCCAATGCAAACATGACTCCTTGTAAAAAAGGTGTCAGTTTTGTTGCCAGATAAAAGGGTAAAAAAAACAATTATAATTTGTGTGATTTGTTTATCTTTCTTATACTTTGCACTGCTATCGTGTTTTAGTACTGTTTGTTATTGTAACGTTCTTACCCGCCCCTACTGGACATGTGAAAATGAGCTTTATAGCTCATCAGATTCCTCAAGTGGCAATAATTATTCTGATTCTGATCATCAAGTAGCAATTTGTTTAAGCAAGCAAACTCTTGATCGTTTTCTTTCTTTCTGGGTCTCAACGGCAGTTGGGCTACAATTTAGAATGCGTTCTGTGTTTGCCTTGATAGAACATATAAACGTGACCATCTTCTAGAAATAAGTTCAACGTACGTACAAAGGACTTAGCGATCATCCTGCAGTTGGAGAAATTATGAAAAAAAGGACTGAAGGCTTTTACAACACCCTTTGAGTCGACATTCCGTGACACGCTAGAACACAGCAATTCATCAGCGCTAATATTACGACCACAAATAAAAACAAATACTTGTGTATTTCAAATCGTTAAGGCTTTCTTGACAATGTTCAAATATTCCCTGGGGCAAATTCCCCTGAAGCTAAACAATAGAAACAACTAAAAAGCTAGACCCGTACTTATATTTCATTACGTGCAATTTGCTTGAACAACACAGGCAGGCAGAGGCGATTCCCTTCCACAACTCTTGTCTCGTTGGGGGCGAGCGATGTCTGAACCGGTCCCGGTGTAACAGGCCGTAGTGTACCCACAGGCCGTAGTATACCCGGGGTTAAAACGGCCTAGGCTAGATTATACCCGGGTATATTATGGCCTAGGCCAAATTATGCCCCTCTAGGCCAAATCATACCCCCATGATAGTAATAGTGTTGAGCGATATACACATGAACTACTAAATTTTTCCAACATTTTATTTAAAACTGTAAACGCATAGACTTTGATTTCTTCAACCAGAAAAACTGTAATAATAACCCTAACCCTAAAAATGCTTCAATTGATCAAATTGAGATTCTTCCATTTATACGCGTTTTAGATATCGATTGAAGTTCGTTGTCGGCTGTTCTCTGTGTGGATCATTGCCTTTGAACTTTCACATGGGGCATATTCTGGCCTAGAGGGGTATGGTCTGGCCCAGTCTAGTTTAACCCCCGGGGGGTCTAGTGTAGCCTCGGACACTTTACCCCCCCCCCCCCCCCAGGTATACTCTGGCCTGGGCCAAACTATACCCGGGTTTAATCGGAACAGGGGTTATTATAACCTGTTACACCAGGTCCATCGTGACGTCCAACCGACTCGCACTGCCCAGCGTGGTGAAGTATGGTCAAACAACCCCGAACACAGCACGGGCAGATCGTCATCCAACAGCGGGCCGATACACGGCTATCCATTATTACGGCTAAATTCGCGTTCATTTAGAGTTGGGAGTGGAACGGTTGCACATGCAGCGATGTGTACCACTTCACTAGAAACCTGACGATCTGAGTTTGACTCCCGGCCACGGCTGACACCGGCGGTTATTGATATCTAAACCTTCCGCTTCACAAATCTGCACCGACCAGCGTGGTGAAGTATGGTCAAAACACCAACATGGCCTCATCATGCAGCAGCAGTGGAACAACGAAAGGTCTGTAAACTAGTACAACATACTCTTTGGTTAAATTTCGGTAAAGTCACGTAGGTATACAATAAAATAAATTAAATCACGACGTTTCAATTGCAACACAAGCAATCATCATCAGGTGGGCTCTACCGAAAGAACCAAAGAGTATATGGATCCCCCCGGCAGTCACGAAAACTTCAAATTAGTACAACTCTTTGTGTTCACGCTTCTAACAGTTAGACGGAGAGAATTACTTTTGACCCAGGTATACAGTTATGGTTATAGGGGGGCGACGGGGGTGGGCCATCCCTGCCCAGACCTCCACCTTGCACCCCGCCTCACTGGTGGGCAGAGAGCCGTCGGCCCAGCCACGTGAATGTGTCTGTCGCTGCACGTTGCGCCGCAGGAATGTGGCAGTGGGAGTGGCGGGTGGGGGGTGGGGGGGTCTCCTGTGTAGCGGCAGCAGCAGCAGGAGCACACGCCCCTGTCACACGGGCACGATCAGGAGAGAGGGAGGGTAACGCGAGTTGCGGTGCGAGATTGTGAGTCGTTGTGCGGGTCTGGTCTCCCCTCCGGCTACTTTCTCTCTCTGTCTCTCTCCCTCTCTCTCCCTCTCTCTTTCACCACACACACGTTGGTGATGTGCACGTCTTCTTCGAACGCTGGGGAGCCGGAAAGGCCCCTCTCTGCACCAGCGTGGACGGCACCCTCGTGGTGTTCACCTTCTGAAGCGCTCGCTCGTCACCGTGGCGTGCGCGATGACACCACCACAACCACGTGGCTTTCATTTCGTGTTGTGCGCGGTGCTTTTAGCGCCACATCGCGTCGATTTGTAGCGTTTGTTTTCTTTTGTTTGCTGGTGACTTTGTGTATTTCATATTGAAATCGCCTCCAGTGCTTTTGCTGCTGGCGGCAATAAAAGTTGTTTAAAAGTAAAAAAGTATCTTTCTCTGTCTCTCTCTCTCTGTCTATCTCTTTCTCTGCGCGCACATTCCCCCGCGTGGCCTTCGCTAGCACCGTGAACCCACAACCCCCCCGCTCCCAGCACGGCACAATTACTGGGTTTGCAATTGAATGAAGTGAATGAGCGCATACGAAGGAGACATCGCAGCGACACACTCCGCTATTCCTGGGACGGCTGGCTTCCTCGACCGCCTAAATCACAGCCACATGGTTCCAGGAGTGGCCGTCGCTGAGAAGCAATTCTGCTGCGGAAAGCGGAGAACTTTCGTCAACCTTTCTCATGACAAACAAAACAACTCAACACATCGATGTATAACATAAATAATGTATATGCTATTAAGAAGGGTCATTACCCAAAACGTCGCCTACTACATATTTGTGTTCATGTTAAGGCCGCATATTGCTCGTTCACCACCGCAACAGCATCGCCGAAGAATTCGTTTCATCAAGAAGTAGAAAACATAACTGAGCTCACGAAATAACAGAGGGTCCATCATAATTTCACTGCCATTCAAGTTGTTTGCCCATACTTCACCACACTGGACAGCTCACGAGAGGGGGACACAAGGACCGGTTCAGATACCACTTGCACGCTTTAACCATTGGGCATGGCCTGGATTTGAATTGGGTCGCCGTGGTTTGAATCGCAGTGCGCTAACCACTCGCCCTCGTCACATCCAATGGCGGAGTCAGGATGTTCAGGTAGGGTGGGGGGGCAACCCCTCCAGCAATGAAAATGATAGAGGAGTTGTTAGTGAGTAAGGAGTTGTTAGTAAGTAAGGAGTTGTTAGTAAGGAAGGACTTACCCCTTGCTTTTATTCGACGCGTGTGCGGCGATGGTGCAGTCATCGATCGAGGGTCGAATTCGAACCGCGTTGTGTGATCGGCATCGCGCTCGCTGAAGGTGAATGCCTTCAGGGAAGTCACATCCTGTATATGCAACTGCGCACAGTTCTGTGAGTCACTTATAACTGCTTTGCCGTTGCTTGTTGGCAATTATGGACTCAGACTATTGTCCTATCATCTCATAGAGTCCATGGCACATAATAACATGCTACACAGTGGCAGTGGGGGTCGCAAAATGTCGATTTATTACTAATAAACCCTAATGATCCGATCGATTGAACGGATAATTGGGGGGGGGGGCACGTGCCACCCCGCCCCCCCACTGGCTCCGCCAGTGCTCCCATCAACGCCGTTCATTAACTCGCTTTCACGCCTTGTTGAAGTATAATCACGACAGCGGTGTAAATAGCCCCGACAGTAAGCAATTATCAACGTCACGTAAAAGTTGACACACGCAAATAATTGTAGGGAAAGTCTAAGAAAGATTAAAAAAAAACCCAACCAACACTTTATTACCAACACTCTAAAGCGGTCGTGACTATTAACTCTTTGTCAGAGCGCGCCCATAGATGCCCACACCTTTGGCAGCTCCACAATACACGAGGCGAACGGCAGCGACAACAAACAGTAAACAACAACAACAACAGGGCGCGCCACCTAACCCACTACGCATTGCAGTTGCCCTTAAGACGCTTCTGCACCCAGCGTGGAGTAGCAGCAAGTGCATCGTAGGAGAGAGTCGAGGGTGCCTTCAGGGCAACTGCAATGCGTTCGAGGACACACTCCTCTCGCTCTCGACAGCAGCCACCTGGACCACCTGCCGATCGCCGGTCTGCCTCGTTCTGGCTCTCCACCAAGTGAATGAAGTGATTACATTAAAACAAATAATGTCGTTGTTGTTCTTCTTGGTTCTTTCGGTAAAGTCACGTAGAAGGGAAATAATACAATTATAAAAATAAAACATAATAAAATAATTCTCACGACGTTTCGGCCACAACGCAAGCAGCCGTCCTCAGGTGAAGACCAGGTCTGTCGGGGAGACAGCGTCTAACGGCTGCTTGCGCTGTGGCCGAAACGTCGTGATAATTATTTTATTATGTTTTATTTTTATAATTGTATTATTTCCCTTCTACGTGACTTTACCGAAAGAACCAAGAAGATGAATCCCTGCAGTCACGAAAGCTTTAAATCGAAAGTCGTTGTTGTTGTTGCTTGAAAAAATAAAATACCAGCACGTGATGGTGCTGTGGCTCGCTCACTTCACTCAGGATATGAAGGTCACGAGTCCTAACACGGCCATGGTCTTTGATGTGAATCGATCGAGC